CTCTCTGTTTCCTCTTTCCTTCTCCCTGTTCGGCGACGTACCCACCCATGGCTCTCCGTCGTAGGAGTTGCAACTTTAGACCGCTTTGCACACAGATTGCATCAGAGCCATCCGCGGATGCAATCGTTACCCCACTGTCGTGTTTCCATCCCCCCCATCCCCTCCCGTCGTCTTTCTCTCTTGGAAGCGGATGGCGCGCAAGCACGTGTATGTAATAAGTACGTGTGCGTACGTGTGTATCTGGTATACGTTAGAGGAATCGCTGACGCCGGTTTCGTTGGTGAAACGAAGAATGCATCGCTAGACTGCGACGGGGAAGTTTGAGACGAAGCTTTTGATTACGATGCTTTATTGGCTTCGGCGTAATCAGCGGTGCAGGATTAGATGCTGAGTGCATTGACCAGTAACGTTCAACAAGAATAAGTAATTTACGAAGCGCTTAATATGCATAGATAGCAATAAATCATATTCTCTGTATCCATTTAATCTTAGGAATGGAGAACTTTGTTAATAGATACTCTATATATATATATATATATATATATGAGACTGATTATTATTATTCTATATTTTCATTCTATATAATACTTAATAATTATATGTTAAAGTAAAAGAGAAAAGAATGAATAAAAGAAATAACCTTAAAATTTTATTTTAATAATACATTTGCAATATCTTGGATAAATTTTGATCTTGTTAAATAAAATATTGGAAACACTTTTTATAAATCCTCTATGATTTAATATCTAATCGAATTCGAATTATATAGTAAGATAAATATATAGTAGGATGGATAAGAGCGGATTAAGATGTAACAGTAGGATTAGATACAGATCCGTTTATATATGACGCGTCTGGTTACTGTCTATCCTCGCGAAATAAAGCGCTCGGATGTGGCGAGTGTAAAATGCTGTATCGGCGAATGAAATCTCGCTAGACTCTTAGTCTGTCGAAACAAATTTGTCTGGAGATTTACATGCATGATTTTCGGTGATACCTACGGAAACACGCAAGACAGACACATGTCATAGTAAATACGTGTTCAAAGAATGGATAATAGTAAAAAAATATAAAAATAAATGAAGCAAAAAAATATAAACATTTGAAAATGAGAACAATTTTAAATTATTTTCAAAGAGCTTTAAATTATAAACGTTTTGATAAAAAAAATATTTCTATTGAACGCTAGTTTTGATTAATTGAATTGAAAGACTTTCAAGTTTTAATTAAATTACTTAATTAAAATATCTGCGTTATTCCAAATTGCTATCGCGATTTTGCCTGGCATGTGCTATCGCCGTAGAGCAGTAAACTATTCTTTGTGTTGTTCCAATCGTAATTAAATAATTTCTATTAAAAAAATCAACGCAGTCTTTTTGTTACGTAATAGCAGTATTGATCGACACGCGGCAGGTGAATCAGGCATTATCTCTCGAGCACTCACTTTAATCCCAGGATTATCCAGCACGCCAATCGGACGCTATTGAAGCTGAAATTAAACCGTATGCGCTGATAGTCCTCTTTTATTTTGCTAAATAAATGCATAACACAAGATCGATTTTATTCAACTGTATTAATTTGATATAATACTGAAGTAATTACATAATAAATTTAAAAATTAAAACATTCATTTTTTTCAAATGAAAACTTTTTTATAAAATTATATCAATAAAGTTGTATGAGTTTAAAATATTCTTAATCACCGGAAAGTGAAACCAGAGACGATAATCTAAATCATAATCATTATTGAAATTTTCCTATTACATTATTTTCCACGAATGTTCTGAGAGAAACAACAAAAACACATTCAATCAAACCGATTTTCACGATAGATTAGCTAACATCATCAATAAAAGGTTGTCGGAAATATTTTGCCACCGATTACATAACCGTCGCATTATCTACCGATCCTCATAGATATCTCTCGGTTATACCACAAATACTTCATTTCATCGTTAATCCGACGATAAAACGGCCAGGCTGAGTAGCGAACTCAGCTAATTCAAACGGATTATCAGACGATAATAATGCGCTTGTATCTTGGAGCACATCGACACCGCTGTTTCATATCATATCTGACGAAGTGAAGCCGTATATGTGCATTACGAAAGCGCGTATGTCACATACGCAAATGCGGCAGGATGTAATCGGAAAGGACGTCGCTCGCGAAGCACCGAAAATTCGCGGATACTGCTGGAATCGGTAACGATGTTACTTTTGTCGTCTATGGAAATTAATTCCCAGAGATTGTCTAATCTGGCAGCGACGTTTACAGGAATCTGCGAGTACGTATGCACACATACGTATGTATACGTTCCCTTTGAGGCACTCAATTTCGAACGATCCATTTTGATAGCACGAAGAGAATTGTGGTTGATGAAAAACTGCCTTTATATTAATTGTCATGTTGCCGTCATTTTAATCTAAGATTATTTTCATTGATTAATCAGATAAAGCCCAAAAAAATTACATTACAAATTATTGAAATTCAAAATCCTTTTTTAATTATTTTAATTGTTACTGATGGTATATTTATAAATCTCTCAATGTTTATGTTTTTTATGTTTGTCTTATATTTTTATTTAACGCTATTTTCTTAGTATATCTTTTGCATTTATTTATTTGTATTTGTTCTTTTAACTTGATTCAACTGATGACAATACGAATCTCCAATCATATCTTTAGCCCAACAGATATAAGGAGATACAAGTTTCTTAATGTTAGCTTATTAATCTGTTTATGCTTATCTATCATTGGATGAGATTTCAGTGTATCAGATCTCGATCGCTTATATTATGAAGGTCAAAGAATGATTCTATCGAATCAATTTCTAATCCAAATACACATCTGTTGCTTCTTATCATGTAGAATTAAACGCAAAGATCTGTTCAAACCATATTTAATTATTTATTGCGTATCAAGTTATTTTTACGTATGCAGTATTTTTGCATTAGGTAAGATATTTGATATATATTATTTGTTTTCTTTATTATCATAGATATATTGAAGCAACACATTATTCAAAAAATAATCAATAAAAAAATTTTTAAATGATAAATGAAAATGCTTGATAAATTAAAAAAAAATTGTTTACTTGAATATATAATTTGTTGTGCAAGTAATACATTAATATGTATATCCTTTTAATAAATGTTTTAATAAATGTTTAAAGGTTATTATTAATTAAACATTTTTATTTAACGTATAGTTATTATTTCAAGTTTTAATAATTCAAAATAAATAGTTTTTAAAAGCTGATTCGAAAACTCGTTTTATACCTATAAATTCCCGCGGATATAAAAAATTTGTTTTAATGCTTTGCAATTGCGATCGCGGAAAAAATCGACGCGGTGGCATAGATATCGCTTCATGTTTCTTCATTTAAGCTTGGTCATCGCGTATACTCTCGCAGAGAATGTGTTGCAGGTGGACAGGTGTATGTGCACATTATTTTTAGATCATCACATCCCTGGAATAGGTTTTTGGTGGGGATGCTAAAGTGCAGAGAAAAAGGTGGGTGAGAATCGAATTCGACGGAAAAAGATTTCGAAAAAAAAAGGAGATGAGATGGGTGCCGGATGAGAGAGCGAATCTTTCATAGCACGACGAACAAATATGAATATAAGCAAGAAATTGGATGAGGAAAAAATCAGTAGTTTTATGAAAGAGAAAATGTTCTGATAAATTGAAAGAAATACGGCATTATTATGAGGAAAGTAGAATAGAAAATGGATTAACGAAGAGAAAAAAAATACGGACTACAAAATTAATTTAAATAAATAACTACAAAGATTACAAGTGTAAAAGAAGATTCCAAAGAAAAAGAAAATTTTCATAGATTTCAGGAAAATTTGCAATTTTGTTTATGATTTTAGAATTTTAATAAATGACAATTTTATCAATTAAAGACGTGTTACAATTGTAATATTAATGTGACAATATTAAAAGGCGAAAAAATAGACGAGAATGTGATCGGAAAGGAACTTAACGCGACGAACAAAGACGAAGGAGAAGGAAATGGTAAAGCGCGAAAGGAACGATACCTTATCCAGAATGAGGAAGCTTCGTAGCAAAATCGGGGGAGGATAAGAGGGAACGAGAATGAGACGACGGGATCTTGGGCTGCGGGGTACGACGAAGGTTCCGAAGGAGTCGGCGAGCGAGAGGGTGAACCAGCAGCTGAGTGAGGACCAGAGGAGGCACTCGGCCGCGATATCGGTAGACGACGCGAGACGACGGTATCGCGGTGGTATGGAGATGGTGGTGGTGACGGTGGTGGTGGTGGTGGTGGTGATGGTGGCAGTGGTGGCAGCGGCGACCGGGTGGTGGGGTTTATACTGACGGCGCGCTCGCGGGTAGGGCGTCGTAGGGGCAGCAGATCGAGCGCCGCGACGCCTCGACGCGCACAGTCGCGGCTCGAACGCCGTTCCCTGCGAACGTGTGTTGTCCTCGCGGACCGTGCGCCTGTCCTTGGCGGCGCGAATGACATTCCGTTGGTGCTTGGCGATCATACGCGATTTCCAGAGGTACACTTACAACGAGAGGGACGATGACGTGAATGCGATCGTGATCCTGACCGTGATCGCTCCAAAGAAGCTCCTCGACGAGAAACGTCCGAAGAAATCGATCAAGTTCGAGTTTTCGGAGCATTCAGAGCTACGCACATGTTTGGTATTGATGACTGGTGACAACCCACGCGCGCCGAAACAGTGCCTCGCGGTCTTCTCAGGGAGATGATTGGCAACGTTGACTGATCTTGTGATGATCGATGATTGAGAGACTACGATCGATGTTGGCGTTTAGAATTGTGTACGTGACGTTCTGAATAGACTGACGTGCCGATCATTGGTGATCAGGAAACGGGACAAGACTGTAGATCGCTCTATTTATTCCGATTTTACTCCGAGACGATATTTATCGTAATGAGTTGCGAGCACGTGTGTGATTTTCCGCAGTCTAGTCAGAGGTACGCGCAGTTTAATCATATATTTAATATTTCGATCTAACCTAAGCAAAATTAGAACAGATGGTAGTGATCATAGGTGTGTAAATCGTTTTAATATAAAAAAAAAATGATCACCCACTTATCATTAGCATACAGTAGCTAGAAATTAAGAACTTGTAATAGTAAGAACCTCCTACGTAAATAAACGGACATTTTATGCACGTCTGTGATTTCGATTGTAAATAAATTTTATGTCATTCGCGCGATTATATTTATCGTAGACAAGGTGCTTCAAGTGACGTTTAAAAGACAAGAAAAACTGATTCGGTTTTAAAAACCTATCATCTTTTCGATTACATTTGACTCTTAATTGATAAGTGCTAGAACTAAAATTGACACTATGAGTTAGTGAGAATTCGAGTACAACGCGATATGTCACGAATGGCGGCGACTTCCGAGGCCCAGGAGAATTATTGAGGCCCCAGGAGGGAATGGATTTTCAGAGCGCAATGGACACCTTTGTAGAGGCATGGATGGCTGCTAACACGAAGACGGATCAAGTACAGGTAATCTTTTATTTTTGTTTCAACTTGGATAAAATATTGTACACAAAATATTATCAATCGTTCATGCAATTGTATAAATATTTTTCTGTAAACAAAATTGGAAAAATTTGTCATAAAATCGTAGAAAAAAATGTTAAAAAAATTTATTAGAATGTGAAAAATATTACATTTATTTAAGAATAATATTGATCGAAAAAATACATGGATGTAAAATTTAAAATGGAATATATTTCTTTTTTTTAGAATAAATGTAACAGATACAGAAAAAAATAGAACAAGAGAGTATTCCAATTTCTAACAGTTTAGTTTTTTAAAAATAATAAAGCTTTTTATTAACAGATTAAAGCGTAATTGAACTCTATAAGGATCACTAATTTATCGATTAGGATCATTTAAAATCTTTTTTATTCACACAGACATAAGGTTTTGCTAAAGTATCTAAAAATTTAGCTAGTTTTGTTTGTTTTGTTTGAACCATCAAAAATGAAACCTTTAAAACAGGTTATTAAAATGTTAAAACTTTTTGCAGCATTATCATCGGTGTTGTTTATACGTTTTACAGAATTATTTTGTAACTAATTATAAATTTTCAGATACTTCAGCAAAAACATCCTTTCCGTATATATGCCGAAAAATCATAAAAATGCTTTTAATATATGAGAGACCATGAAAAAAGTACAACTATATCGAAAATATGTGACCTTAATTTGACAAGGAATATAAAATTCCGATAAAATGGCTTACGTCGTGGATTAGCGTGCTAGCATCATCGTTTTCGGCGTTCGGTCTGCCGAACTTATAAAAATAACGCAGCGTCTATACTCAATGTTAGCGAGTACGAGGGGCGAGAAGCAACCCCTTTCTGACATTACACAGCCAATTGGCCACCCTATCGCTTCTTGCACCCCTCTCTCTCTCTTTCTCTGGACGCGCTTTCAGTCCGCTTAATTCTTCGTCATCAATTTGGCACATTCTTTCGCATCTCAAAGCAGCTAGCTACTCCACGTGTAATGCGCGATTATCTCAGTACCTAAAATAAATAAACAAGGCGTCGTTTCTACATCGCGTAATCATTTAAAAAATAATAAACTTGTAACATTATGTATTAGGAAAATGTGATAAATTTTGATAAATTCGAACGGAAATTTTCATTTTCTCGCACACGAGTCTTCTTATCCTAAAATTTCATCTTCCTAGATGCGTATTGTTTTAAATTAAAATATATAGAGCAGGTGCAATTATAAGTTTAGGTAAACATTCACGTAATCTATGCAGCATCGAAAAGAAAAAAACACGTTATTTATCAGACATATGATCGCTTGGGAAGGAAATAATTATCCATTTAAATGCAGCGCGAGCTCGGATTTAGACTCGATTCTCCACATCAAAAATCGCATACCAAATTCAGATCCGACGCGTATATCCGACGCTTCGCGATCTCACAATGAAAGCCGAGGGCAACCGTAGGACGGGGGATAATCCTTGGCAAAGCCGCGGCTCGCGTGTGTGCTGTGCGGACGAACGCGCGTACGTTTACACGTGTAGGTACGTATCGGGGGGTCACGGGTTCTGACCACGATACGGATGTGCCCCTGCCTTCTTCCTGTGCCACGACCATGTTCATGTTCTGGCATTCAACGGAATAAGACCGCATGTCTCCATTGACCGCTCGATCTCTCGATCCATGCCTTCGGCTCATCATGGCTATCGAAAAATTAACAATAAAACACGCTACGAATACGTTCGTCCAAATCCGTTTACATAAATTGTTGTAATAGACAGACTAATGTATCATGATAACATTTAATACGTTCTGAAATAACACGTACGAAATCCTATGTTCTACTTACGTTTTTGACTGTCTTTTTTTTTATTAAAAAAAAATATTAGAACAATTACAAACCTTTTTCGAGGTTAATCATAAGTTTCTTGTCAGAAATGATATTTTTGGAACATATAGAATAGAATTTATTCTTTTCAATATTTTCAAAACCAAGAAGGGGATTATAAATATTCCTACTTCATTTATCTATTCATATTTTTCTGACGCTCTTCTATTTTGCATTGTATGTTTATTGCTCCACTTGTCTCTTTTTCTTTATTTATTAGTGCACTTCTATCTATGTAAATATATTACAGTTGATACACGTTTCTAAAAATAACTCTATATGTCCAATAATATTGATTATTAATATTGACAGTATGCATAAATATTTTAAATATTTTTGCAACCTTATACGATCAGTATTATGCATAATATACATACAGTAGTATACATACAGGATCATCTTTATATTATCATAGCTATGATACTATTAGAATATTACACAATATATATCATTTATTTGAGAAAATTATCAATTTATCATGCATGAATTATATGATGTGGATCATTTTGTCAAAAGAGTTATGTACATTTTATTTTCATTGTAACAAAGCACAGATTAAATATTTTAAAAGAGAGAATGTAACTTATATGGAAGCACCTCGAGAGATGCATTATTCATGCAGATGTTTTTCAGAAAAGAAGTCAGAGACCGAGGATAATCTTATAATGCTGTCAAATACATGAAGCTCTGCCTTCATATTTGCAGTATTAGTGTACGAAGACTCATTTTGTAGTTTGTTCTTGTGAAAACGCAAGAACAATACTAACTTGGATTACAGGATGTGTAAAAATTCTAAATTCAGTCTTCATAATTTGCATTATAGTTATTTAAATTACACCGTCAAAGGAGCAAATATGAGTAAATAACAGCAATTGTAACAGCAACAAAGTGACGATCGCGAAACTCGAGCATAATGATCGCACGCGAGGAAAGAAATAAAAAGAGGGAAGATGCGACGTTGCAAAGTTAATTAAATTTTCTGTCGTTATCAATATATTATAGGTAGATCTATGACGCTTAATAAACGTTTAATAAACGTAATAGAGCCGTGCGAGCTCGCGATATTAAACAGCAGAGAAACGTCAGTGAAGAGAGAGAACTCGCGATGTAAAATTTTCACGCTGCCGCGACGCACCTCCCTGCATTCTGGCACTTTGAAAACGCATCCTTGCAACGCGTTGCACGCAGGACTGCTCGTGCACGCACGGGCCGCCACGTGTGTACTCGAAAGTGCGTCGTACATATCTACGTGTGCGTGCATGAGGATACGTTTGAAACACGCATGGTCACGGTATTTGACCACCCCAGCTCCCGGAATGATTGTAATCCATCTATCCGGCCACCGAAGCCGATATATCAAACGCAGGTAGAGCTCGCGGTCCTCTCTCTGTAGGCCTTTTACGTTGCCTTTTTATGCCGCAGACACGATCTTTTGTTTTCTCAGTGAATATTTTGTGAGAGAAAATTGGTTACGGCGATGCGAACAGTTTCGTGTCAGGTAACTTTATTATATAGAGCACGCGCGTTCCTCATCGTATTATTTTTTTTAAACTAGAATGCGTTGCAACAATTACTCCACGAAGATATGTGTGTAATAAATAATCATATCTTTTGGGAGAAAAAGAAATTTTAGAAATCAAATTATCGATATTATATTTCAGTATAAATCGTTATAAAAAAGCATTATATTTTTATTTTATAATATTAATATTATATATAAATATTTTTTTTTATTAAATTTGAAATGTATTTATAAATATATTTTCTCATGTTAATATTAAAGACTAATTTATCTATATGGTCAATTAAACTGTAATTTTGAAATATTTCGCTACTTTCTCTAGTATAAACCCTCGAAATCAGCGATCATTGCTGGTGCAAGATGGTATCTATTGCTTTCTAATCTTTAGTTCTACCATATTTTGCACTTAGGAACGAAGTACACTGACACTACAGTCGGCAACAATTTACGTAACACGATCGCAAACGCATCAATCCGCGGATTATCTATCACAAAGAGACATCCAATTATCGTTCGGGGATATCGCCGGCTCGATATTTCGATAAGCGTGATTAGAATGTTGCAGATTAATATGGATGCTACATTTAATTCTATTTGTGATGACCGCCAAAAGATAGCGAAATTATCACGCGCTCTAAAACAGATAATGAATCGTTTTAAAATTTGTTAAGTGCAATTTATGAATTGTTATTAGTATACAATGTTGCATGTTATTGTATCGATCGGAGATTAGAAGACGGCGAGTGCTTTTCAATGTTCTGTAAAAGCATATTCCAGAAACAGTTTATCTTCATAATCGGAATTTCATGGAATCTTTAACAATTATAAAACGATTATATCAACATTATCTAATTTCTATTAAGTTTTATAGAATTTCACAAAGTTTTTAAGAACAGTAAAAATTTAGGCAAATAGAACGCAAGTATTAGAGAGAACAACTAAGATTATAGTATAATTTTAATACTCAAGATTCACATTGCTCTTTCATACAAGCAGTCACTAATGGATTGGATAATCCAAAGTGAAATGCAAGAATTTAGTGGTAAAAATAATGTAGGAATTTTATAAGAGAAAGAGGAGCCAACGCTACACTAGCCAATTGTCAGATTGATTATTTCTTTAATAAAAATCTTTTTTGGATCAATAAAAAACGCGCAGTTTGCAAAATATCTCAATAGTAAATGTATAAAATTCTCTCTTTATTTTGAAATCAAAAGATTTTTTTTTAGATTTTTCGATCATGACAGAAATAAAATGACAGATTTTAAAAGAATTTTAAGTCGGTAGCTGTTCGAGTTATTTCCATTTTATTTCCGTTTGAAAATGTAATTAGAATGAACTCATATCCTAAACTGATCTCATATCCTCCGAGAACGCTGCAACGTATCGCTCACGGCGTGAAGCGCGATTTTTCATGACGCGCGTTAATGCAGCATTCGTAGAATTAATAAAGACAAGCGAGACAAGCGCTGATAATTCACGCGCATCGAATATCGTCGTAGAAATCGTCGTTGTGATGAGACGAGAAGAAAGGATCCTCATGCAAAGGGGCGATATCGTCATGAATGTTCTTTCTTTTCTTTTTTTTTTATTTCGATGAATAGAATTGATCACATGAAGAACGATGCCGCTGACGTAAGACATACTTCGAAAAGGACCACGCGTTCAATTGGTCAAACATTAAAGATTGTCATCGTGATTCGGTCTTACGTAAGTTCGTTTGTGCGGACGATTCGTAGCGCGCGCGCGATTGATTCCGCCACTGTTCCATCGTGGTTAATTCCGTTCAGAATCTCTCGCAGATCCATGAGAATCCTGTGCACGGTCAACGATTAAGGTTATCGCATTAACGGGAAACACTAGCAGGAAACGCCATCGCTGCGTATCTCCGTTACACCCGGTAGATAAGCTGATCCGTTGATAAACCGCCTGCCAAACTCGTCGTTCGTGGCGCAATGCGATATCGCGCTCGCGCTTCACGTTTAATTATTTACTTTTCCATTTTTACTGTCGTCACACACAATTAGGACACGGGAGAAGAGTACGTTTGTTTAAATTCATGGCTCGTACAGATTGGACGAAGCAGCATTTATTGTCTTTTGTGTTGACAATATTTTGCGAGTAGTACGACATACTTTAATTTTAATTTTATTATAGTTTCTCTTATTCAACTTGAGCAATTATTCTTGTTTTACTAATATTTAATGAGATAATTATTTAACATGATGCAAAAAAATATTTCGCCAATTATTACGAGTGATATTATTACAAACTTTTTATGCTCTTCCAACATTTCTTCAATTTCATCTATCTACTTAATCGTTATTGGCCCATCTGGTTAACTTTATCACATTTATTATCGCGCAATTAATGATATCTAATAAGAAGCAATTTTTATCGCTCAAATGAGCGAATTTTCAAAAGTGTTTCTCGCGACGTTTCTTGGATCTGACGCCTTCCCAGCGCGATTTCCGATTTCTACGGGAGGCCAAGTGAATTCTCAACTATGGCGAAAGCCGGATCGATGAACGAACCGAAATTCCTGATTTTACGACAACAACATCGTAACCCCTCGCACGTCACAGCAGAGTTACCGCGATATCACTTGGGGCGTTAGCTGGATAAGCCGCTAACCCCATCCACCTGTTGCCCCTTCTTACACGCTCCCGCTTTCGGTCTCGCGTTCGTCTTCATTCCTCGCGTGGAAGCCGAGGATCCGGAGATCCTCTCTATCCTCTTCCAATTCACGTGGACCCTCGGGGCCCGTCGTTCCCGCTCGTCTCTCTTCCATCAATGATGCCGGCTGGCCCTTATCTCTCTTTCTCGCTCTCTTCGGCACCTTCAGGCATCCCGTTTCTCCGCTACCTTCTTCACCACCTCCTTCCTCTTCTTCATCATCTTCTTCTCTCTTACTCCCATTCCAGGCCCGGGTCTTCAGCGGTCTGACGTGTTTTTTGCGAGTGCATACCTCGAAGAGCTCCCGAAACAGTAGCTGGTACCTCGGTACAGTCCGGGCAAGCGAAAAAATCATCCGGTCGATCCTTTCGCAACCGATTGTTAGATCGATGAGAAAAGTGATGTACAAAGATATTAAAATCTATAAATGTAAGAAGAAATTCTTCTTTTTCTTTTGATTTGACTTCAATAATTATGTATATATTTCTATCTTAATATTTCCTACGAATAAAGATATACGAGTAAAAGATTCATTATTCAGAAAAAATAAAAAAAAATTGAAGTTTAATTGCGACTTGATAGAATTAATTTACATAAATATAAAAAGACGATAAGTTTTGTGCAATCTGTTCGGTTAAGAACCGGGATGATCATTTTCGAGGAGCAATTAATACGATGCTCATCGTCGATTTTTCAAGATTGCCTTGTGTGATGTGCGCGTGAGTGCCGGCTGATTAAATTTCATAATTTTGTAATTAAATAAGGAGACTAAATACTCGCTAAAATTGCTGATTGCGAGCAAACACGAACGCGGCAGGAAGTCGCGAAGGATTATGGAGGGTTAAACACCGTATTCCACGGAGGCGTCATCGACGATCCAGTTTCCAGACGAAAATCATCGCTCCGCGGTGCATCTCGCACATCGGCGGCGGCGACGGCGGCGGCAGCGGTTGCGGTGGTGTAGGATTGTCGCATTCTGGGCCCAGTTGACCCCAGTTGACACCGTGGACGGCTTAGCCGTTAGTGTTAAGTTCAGTTCACTCATACATAAATCTAAGTCCGCGCTTATGTCTTAGCCTGGTCACCGCTCGGAATTGAGCACGTGCTCAGATTTCATCGTCGACGACGCTTAGATCATCCGGCTCGCTCGGCCCGACCGAAACGTCGTAGATTTGACCGCGTTTAGGCGACGCTCCCACCGTGAATTGCCGCCGAAGGCTTTTTTAATCGTTAGATTGCCTCCAATCGTGCATAGTTAATTCGCGCGCGAGTTATCTTTTCTTTCTTTTTAGAAGCAGATTCTAGACAATCCTTTATCGCGCGCGAGCGCATTTTTTAGCAAGGATACAACATTACATTTAATTCGTGTAATATATTATCATTGTAATATATTAAAAATTTATTTATAAAATTTTGAAAATTAATATGATACGGACAAATAACATGATTTATGTATATACACCGATGATTTATGATAATACTTTTTATACTTTAAAGATTAATAGGAGCTACGTTTCTCTGTAGAAATTTGTATAATAGGTAATCGTTCCCGTAAAAAAGTCATGCGACCGTTAGAAGCATGATGTGCCAGGAAATTTTGTCTTCAGAGATTAAGGACAGCAAAGGATTTGTATTACCCCGCGGCGATTACCGCACTCTCGCTGGATTATACACAAACGAGCGATGAAATAAACATCACAATAATTTACATAACGTGCTCTTGTACGCAGAAAATATTTTCGCTGTGAAACTTTGCCAGGGACAATACAGAAGCTGGGGAAGAACTTGTTGCCTGAGTAATAAGCGTAAAAATGTACATATCATGCTTCCCGGTATTAAAATTTCTTTCGCGTCCTCTTGATACATAAAAAGATTCTTATATTTTATAATGTAGAGCTTATCGAATTTCTCTGTATAATATTCTCATCTTCTTTTAAATAGATCACTTTTCTTTGTTTCTCCTCTTTGACAAAATAAATGTGCCGCATTTCAATAATGTATATGACAATAATCGTACATAGACATTATCATTATCGCGTCGAAATTGTATTTATTGTTCAAAATGAATTTTTTAAACATGAATATCCTCTCGTGGTTGCAGAGCCAAGCGTTGGCATTGACGCACAAAGCCTCGCCACCATCGAGACCGAGCAGCGTGTCCTCGTTACCGAGGAGTCCTCAGTCTCATCAGTCCCAGCAGTCTCAGCCGCAGAACGCACCTCAGCACCCATCGGTACATCCGTTGCAATCGCAAACACCTCTCGGTACACCTCAGACACCGTTCTCTGCGCACAATCAGCATCCAAAGCAAGAAATCAACGCCAGTCCCAAGCAGGAAGGCTTCGATCTCAGCAAATCCGCCTCCAGTACAGGTAAATATTTCTTTTTCGTTTATATTTCATTGTCCGTTTAATAATGATAAATAATGATTTATTAAAAATACTAAGCATATATAACAATTATTATATATTTTTATTTTGACAAAGTTTGATGATTTCAATTTTAAAATTATTAAATTGGAAGTTGATACTATTTATTTTATAATGTTATAAATATATTTTAAATAAATTTTGATGAATTTTTTAATTTAAGAATATCGCAAAATAATATAATAATGAAGAAATTCTATATGGTTATTTGAACGTATTTGAACTCTTGTATTTCGTATCGTCCCGTTCCTCATCGTCTTGTCCCTACGCGAGTGCATTTGTACACCCCATTACCTTGGGTTGCATCTCGGGTGTGGTGGCTTGTGCAGGGTTCTCGTGGTCGTAAATCGTCGATTTGTCGGGCGAATTAAGTCACCTTTTATGAAAGATCGGGTCGTGCGAAAACAGCTTTACAACGCGTAACTCAACAGTTGGGATAACTCATGTGACGGCGATGAGGAAAACATGGTAACGATGCACCGATGTCACATCCATTAATGCATTCTATATGAACGGAAACGGCGTTAATCGCCGTCACCGTCTCACATCCGGCGAAGGCCGATATAGCTCTTGTGTAATAAATAAGAAAGCAAACGGGGAAACGATACGAACGTTTTAAGTTTGAATTATTTTATGCTGTCGATTTTATTTTTTTTTTTTACTCCAAAATTATGTAGTATTGTTTGTCCAACTTAATAATATCTATTTAGAAAAGGGGTTACATTTAATATAACTCTATGGTAGAAATAATATATATTATAAGTAATTTATAGATAATGCTAGTGTTAGAAGGTTACCATCATTTATTTATCTATTGCTAAAGGTTGTTTAATGATATTGCAAATAATACAAAGAGTCTGCTCAAAATGCTTCACTTTTATTCGAGGCAATCCAGAAACTCAGTTGCCATGTCGCGTCATAAAGTCCGCTTCCGTTGAGAATGACGAAGACGTACGTACTCGATGGAGGTCGCGCGAGAGGGATCGTTAAAGCTCATAAACGAGATAGACTATCGGCGGAATTTCCTTGATCCTCGATAATGCGGTGGAAACAATTTACACGCGTCCGTTTGCAATGAGAATTAAACGTTGTATAAACGGAGCCCGTGATACTTAACATTCTAATTTTACACGACAAAATTCGTAGATAGCAACAAAGAAAGAATTAATAATAATTAAATATATAAATATAACAAACATATTTGCTACTATAACGTACGGCACGTTTATTGCTGAATGAAACATCCGACAGCAAATTAATTAAGCATAGTTTCTTGAATTTAAATTATTATTGAATTATCTTATCTCCAAATATTGATAGAAACATATATATGTGTGTTTGTAAATCTACTTAATTTTATTTAACGATCTCTCGACAATAATATAATTTTCTATTTTAAAAATAACACACTGCTGCAATTAAAAACACTATGACATATTTTATCTAATTTGCTGTACAGCAACCAACCTTTTTTTTAGTGCAATATCTAGTATCTTTTTACATATGTTAGTTTTCCGCAAAAAATAGACAAAGTTGCTACAGAATAGAGAACGTCAATCGCAGTCTGCATACAAAATCAAAGAAATGACTATAATTAAATATTTGTCTAATCTATCATTTATAAGATTTTCCATTAAATATATATATTTATGATATACGTTTCTCTATTTTTATTTTTTTTTTTTGCTTGATTCTTTCACAATAAAAATCGCTACGAAAAAAAATCCAAGAAAGGGAGGGAAAAAATTATATCGTACATCATATTAAGTTGTCAAATTATGTTCTACGATTTTTTTCTCAGGCACCTTTTAGAGTGAAATCGATTTAAGTGTTCTTAAGAGAGTAGAGGGGATAGATATTCTGTACTTTGACATTTCGAAGGCGTGCAGGAATGCAGGGAGCTAGAGCACATATTTGCTTTTCTAGCCCCGATCTAGACGAGGAGAAAAGGGTGGTACGAGATGGGGGATGCGGGTGGACAAAAGCACGCACTTCCTAAATCTACGGATCTCGAGGATCCTCTTTAAATCTCCGTATGTCACAGTTAATTTTTTCCTCTCCTCCCTTCCCCCTCCTCCTCTGCTCCTTTTCTACATTTCTCAGTTCTTATCTTCATCTTTCCTTAATCGAGACTTTTTTTAACTTTTCAAATTTCTAAAAGTGCGACCTACTTATTTCCAACGCTGAACCGTGCAATAAGCGACAGTAGAATATTTAATATAATATTTATTGTTGTATAATGCAATAACATTAAATTTTGAAAACTGATTCGCATAAATAGATTATATAATTTTTAATAATTACAATAATGTTAATTTCTTAATTTCATAAAAATTCTTTGTATAAGAAATTAAAAATAAATACGTCCAAAAATAAGAGAACTGGCATGATTTTTTTTTCGAGAAGTGATTTCGCGTCGGCATACATCAAAGATGAGCTGGAAAGACGAGATCGTTTGTTCCCTTTTAGTCCGCGAGCCGTAAGCGTCAGCTCGGAATTAGGATAATCGTCCGCGTGTGTTCCGTACGGATTTACCTGGACGTCTATATGCGCGCATCCGTGTGCAGGAACGGTGGGACGAACCGCGACGAGGTGCAGTCAGAGGGGAGGATATTGTGACCCTTACGAACTAATCCGGATTAAATTCAAATCCCTGGCTATGCGGCTAGGCGACCTGCGAACATTCACCATGGCGTCTTGCGCCATACGATCGGGCTCGTTACGCCATTTAACCCTACGCGATACTCCCTCCCAAGAGATGAAACATCTTTTGTGGCGAGTTGCCTTTGAATTCTCACTATTTACGTTCTCGTCAGTGGACAGAACGATGTAGCTCCCGGAGCATAAAAGTTTTGATTTAGTAATCCCCAAACTTGCGATGCAAAACCCGATCAGAAAATATATTCTGTTGGGAAAGACTTACAATGAGTATTTGACGTACTACAAACTCAAAAAACGATCGGAGGCTTTGTATAAATTCAGCGCGTTTAATTCAAATGTATCTACCCTTCGTTGCGCTTGTAAAAAAAAAACAGTGTAGTTTTAACTTGTTTTAATTTTCAGAAGTCGTTCTATTATTTATAAATAACTGGGATATCACGAAGTATAAATAATGTTATAATGAGTGAGATAATATTTAATGAATTCATATATTTTTCACAGTATGAACTGAATTTACAAATTACGAAGAATATTTTAACACGAAGGCGCATTTAATTACAAAGGCTTAGAAATATATATTTTGTTTGTGAACACATATGTAATAAAATTATATATTTTTATTTAGAATATAAAAATAACAAAGGAAGGAAATATAAGAAAGTTTTATAAAATACAGCAAAGACGCATCGATTAATCAAATTGTATTGAAACAAAATAAAATAGTAATATTACTGGCTTCAAAAACATCTAATATATGTATAATAGCAAATTTAATATAAATAAAAATTTTTATATTGTATCAAATTGTGTATTAATGCATATGAATTGTAGCATAAAAACTGTTATCTTCCCTCATTTCTCTCGCAATTCAGGAATGATTCTTTTATAGCCGCCCTGTATACGTTCTAGCTTTCAACCTGACCACGCGTTAAGCTAAAGGCAAAATCGATATCATATCTCGCAGAGAGCAATCGTGGACCATATTGCAAATGGTTATTTCTCACATGTACAGAAATGCGTGTGTGCATATATGTCTTTATTTTTACTGTTCTTATATTTAAGTTCTGTCCTACATTTAGCTTACCGAACGCAAATCCTTGCAAGACATTACAAAGTCTGATTCTTACCGATGCAAAGACTATAGACAAAGTAAAGCAGTTCTTGTAATATCCGTAAAAATACTATTCACGCTGCATTCAAATTATAAATTGCTTCTTTTTTAGAATTATAAAGTATATCTTATAATTTTATTTAATTTCCTATTCTTACTTTTGTAAAATATAGGTATATAAAACGTACCGTGCACACTTTTGTATTTAATAACTTTTGTTTTTTTATCAGTTCGGATATAATTTTTTTAGCAATTTTTGAAGCGAATAGTCTTTTAATGAATATTCTGCTAAGTTTCGAGGCAAACTTTTGTTCATATAATTTTAAAAGTAAAAATTTCTATTCTGATAATTAATATTTTAACATAATGAGTTAACTATTTATCGTGACGCGATCTGAATAATGAAGATTGTAATGTAATTGCGGACGCAACGAAGCTTTAAACCTTACTTAAAAATCACTTACAATTAAATCTCTTCTGTGTCTGAGTCGCGCATTATTCGTGATGTCATCGGTATCTTAGGTAATAATAGATATGTCCCACATAAACGTTGTAAATCAACGTCTATTGTTATTCTGATTAATCTCGATCTTACAATTTCTTTAAAATTTCTTTCTAAATCTTTAAAACTAAGTATCCCAAGTTTTCTACATAACATTTTCATTCTCTATTAACAAATATTTCCGATATTAACAAATATTCGTTTTAAACAATACTATGCAAGATATGGAAGGTATTGATTGATGCAATAAAACGTCTATGAAATTTTGATAAAATTGAATCGTCGTGATTGGACATCTTCATATCCTGACTAAATTTATACCCTGTTGTGACAATTTAACGAAGATCAATTTTATATTTTATTTTTACTAAAGACAAAATTGATCGGTAAATTCACAAAAATCCTTTATTAATCTCGATACGGCTTTAATATCGATCGACGTCGCGCTCGAAAATCAGTACTTTAAGCGGATAGGTAAAAATAGGGCACTGGCGGACGTGAATTTTCAGGCACACCCTATAGATAACGCTCCGAACTGTCGGTGGAGAACACACAGGATACGCTGAGAGTGAGGGCGGCGAGGTGCAGGCGAGAGAGGGTGAAAAGGGGGTGGGTTAGGATTAGCTGAGTTGTGTGCGTTGGATTTTGGATTTGGACGGCGGGCGGCGC